CGCAAACAGCCGTGGCGACCAAAAGGACCCAAGCGCGCCCAGAGCACGTCCATGTCGCCAAGGGCCACGCCTGCCACGCAAAGTGAAGGTCGATGTTACCAAGTGCCAGGCCTGCCGACAAGGGACAAGTTGTTTGTGAGCAAGTTGTGTGGAGACAAGTTGTGTGTGGACAAGCTGTGTGTGAGCAAGTTGTGTGTGGGCAAGTTGTGTGTGAGCAAGTTGTGTGTGAGCAAGTTGTGTGTGAGTAAGTTGCGTGTGAGCAAGTTGTGTGTGAGTAAGTTGTGTGTGTGGACAAGTTGTGTATGAACAAGTTGTGTGTGAGTAAGTTGTGTGTGGACAAGTTGGGCGTGAGCAAGTTGTGTGTGGACAAGTTGTGTGTGAGCAAGTTGTGTGTGAGTAAGTTGTGTGTGAACAAGCTGTGCGTGGACAAGTTGTGTGTGAACAAGCTGTGTGTGAGCAAGTTGTGTGTGAACAAGTTGTGTGTGAGCAAGTTGTGTGTGGACAAATTAACAAGCTTGGTGTGGACAAGTTGTGTGTGAGTAAGTTGTGTGTGAACAAGCTGTGTGTGAACAAGTTGTGCTGTGTGTGAGTAAGTTGTGTGTGAAGAAGTTGTGTGTGAGCAAGTTGTGTGTGAACAAGTTGTGTGTGCACGAGTTGTGTGTGAGTAAGTTGTGTTTGAGTAAGTTGCGCGTGAGGAAGGAGCGGCGGGAGGCGGCGGGAGTGACACGGGAAGGCGGGAGTGCACAACCAAAAACAAGAACCCCATACAAAGATTTGGGGAACAAGTGGGTTTGCCGCGAATAGCCCCAGTGCTGTTGGTGGTTGCTAAGGACGACACTGCCAGATGTGGAGGGCTGCTGACAACAGTGAGAGTTTCGGCATTTGAATGTTGGGCGGCTGATGAGACTCCGGTTTCCTAATCCATTAACAATCACGAATTAGGTATCTTGATTATTTTCCGTGTCTTGGAACATTTGAACATTCAAAAGGAGAATGGATACCATAGTGGGCTGGGGTGGGGCGGCGCATGGGTATAAGATTTGTTTGACCTTCCCAAACTCACAAAACGTGGAAAGTAAACATGTTTGCTGCATATTTCATATTTTGCAGACATCTGTATGTTCCATCATCAATTCCGCAAGTTCTAAACATGAACAGCATTGGCTTCCGCCAGCCACCAGCTCAGCTACGCCAAGGATTGCAGATCCGTTGCCACCTGACACCTGTGAGATCACTATATCTGAGTCCGACCTGTTCATGGAATGTTAGGTGGGCATCTGGGGTGAACGGGGACAGATTAGATTCGGAATTGCCAAAAACACTATGTACGTAAAAATTTGGGATTTGTTCCACAAGAAATTGGACAGCAACAAGAAAATAACCAACAAAGGTGTAGATGCTATTGGTAGCAAGCAAGTATGGGTAATCACTGGGATATGACGCAAAATCGTGAGCATGTTGAACCCATTTGAACCCCATAGAGCTGGACACATTGGCTACGGAACTTGGAGATGACCCAGCCCAAACAATGGGAGATGCCTCAAACAGCACGGTCTCTGAGGGGTTTCCCAAGCAATTCTTGAATCATGGTTATCGGTCAGAGTTGAAAACCATCTCAAATCTAACAAATGAGCATCCCTTAAAATCGCATGGGTACCTGGTTGAACTAACCAATTCCCGGGTTTGTTCGAACATGGAGCATCTAGGGCAAAATCACTTATGCATCTGAGTGGTCACTCATGCTGTGCATGCTATTAACGCCATGACTTTGCTGGTCACTTTCACGTTACTAGTATTACCAAGCCAGAACTAAACCGATTTCGATGCTTTCTTGCCCGGTTCCCCTATTAATTTCCATTAAGGGTGGGGTTGTGTCCAGGTTGCCACGCCGCCCTGAAACAGTCTTCAAAATCAATGATGATTCTCTCATTTCTCAACTATGCTATCATCTCAAGCCGGTGTGAGTTGACATATTATGCCATTGTGTCAACCGTGCCACAATACAACCTTGCAATTCCGCTTTTAAGTTTTCAGAGATGATTTGCCAATGTCAAGTGGTGAAAATGCATTGCTATGTCCGATTACCGGAAGGTATACAGGAATAACTCATTATTCTCTTGGCTGAACGTAAAACCCTGATTCATTTTAAACCACAGTGCCTCAAGCATTCCACCATGTAATCGTTGAAAAACATCATATATTGTAACCATGCACCAAAGTTTCCCAATTTTCACCAACAAGTATAATCATAATTTTGAAATAGTATTCTCAGTTTTCACCATTTCCATCCATTTCCCAGTTTTCCCCAAGTAGAAATAGGTAATCCAGATTTCACAAAGGTTTTCCCCAAGTTTAGGCATCCGCCAAGTAGATTTCCAGCGGCTGCTGGAGCCATGCCAAGCCCCTTCAAAGTCGAAAAAAAAACTACTACTGAAAAACAAAACATGGATAAAGAGTAACATCCTCCAGATTCTTGGAGGGGAAACTGAAAATGTTGGTTCCTCAAATTTATGGTTTTTCCTAAATTCATCATCCTTCGCCCAAGCTTTGACGACTGCCATTGAAGTAATGCAAAGTGGATGAGCACGCCACCCTGGTTGGTGGTGAAACAGCCCATCAAAAACAAATGACAGCTACTTGCTCATCATCATTGAATTGTCCCGGATAGAAGGTTAAAAATAAACATGAAAACAACTAACCAACAACTAGGAAATTTGATGTTTAAAATCAAATTGGTTCAAAAGCCGTCAAAAAAATGTTCTATGTTTTGTGTTTTGTCCCTGGACTTCTACAACGTTGTACCCGTTTTTTTGATCTTTTTTGGGGGTTGCAGCAGGGAACAAATCAATCAGCGGGGCTCAGCAGGTCTCCGATGACAGGCGAATGAACTTGAACAATCGATTGGCAGACCGACCTGCCATGACCGGCGGATGAAGTTGAAAAATCGATTGGCAGACCGACCTGCCATGGGACTTGTTTCTGTCGGGCAGACCCAGCATATGGCGCATCTCCAAGGTGGATGCCATGGCTAGGTGAAAGAAACTGTTTCACATAAGTAGTGGCAGCTGAGCAGGTACACTTGTGGCATGGCACAGACCCAGCATTCCAAAACATTCAGGCTGCTGTTTTGGTTGTTCCTGGAGGTCCACAAAGCTACACGTTCTAAGGAATTCCAGAGGCAAATTTTAGGTGACCGGTCACATGACAATGATTTCCTATCACTACTTTTCCGCTTGGGCTTTTTTGTTCTTATGAAGAATCATGTTCAAGCCATATCCAACTGTTTCTTGAGGGAGTTCCTTTTGTAGTCCATGAAGGCAGTACCATTTTGTTGCCCGGTTTTTTCGTTTCAGTTTATTTCAGGATGCCAGGGTCAGGACATTCTACAAGTCGGTTTTTGTACATATGTACATGCCTGACCAACAGGCGAATTGAATTCACGGAAAAGGTGGGAGACGCAGACGTTCTGGCAAATGATCTCCAAAGTGGGCCCAGAGATGGCCACCACCTTGTAAGCTTTACATCACATCCCTTGTTTTTATTCCAGCCAAACCTACTCAACAAACTGTTTGAGGTCGCACACGTGGCATACCTGTATACTGAAATGGACTATCGACTGGTACAGTTTCTGAAACTAGCTAGGCCGGTCATGGAATTACGAGGAAACTTATGGAGACCTACTTCTCGAACCAAAAAGCAAACGTCATTTCCCCTACCAACCATAAAAAAATGTGCGAAGTCCTGGTGAAGTCGATAGAGTTTGAATACATGCGAGTTTTTGAAAGTTGGTGCCTCAAAATCCAGTGGTTTGCCCAAGAGAAACACCTAGGTTGGATGGTTTTTGTCCCTGATTTTGAGACAAACCCAAACTGAATCTGAGTTTGAATTTGATTTGTTCACCAAACTGAACGGAAGCCATTTGTTGCGAATCATTTAGGTCATTTCCATTCATTTCCTATTTACCATCATGTCTGAGATCATGTCGTGAGGTCGTGAAATCCTTCAGCCATATGAAAATGGTTGTTGAATGGCTACCCACCTCATTGATGACGGCCACTCTCATATTAGCCATAGTTTTCCACTGATCAATGATCAGCCCGCGTCAGAACTCTCCTTGGCCTCCCTCAGCACAATATTTCTGCACCCACAGTCGGATGCTTGGAATTGTGCTGACAGCAGAATTCCAGCATCCGAAGCAAAGCGCTTGCCTGGGAAAGGAACCCAGAGGTTGGGGTATTGGGTCCAAAAAACAAGGCATTTTCTTATTCTAAGTAGAATTGACAGTGGGTATACCCAAGAACTGCTTTTCTAGAGAGGGATTAAAAATGATGTTCGAACAGACTTGTTTGGAGGGTGCAATGTTTCAAGACACAATGTCCCCAAAGTTATGGCAATGTCCGCAACGTCCGCACTGGCAGGATCCCACAGGTAAAAGCGGATGTGGCGCGAGTAAGCATGGACGTTACTAGCACAACAGGTTTTGCATTTGGGCTATGTGGTTCCATTCGAACCCAAATCTAACATCATCAAATGCGAAACTGAAAGTTTCGATATGTAAAATTTTTCCACCCTCTTTCCTTTTCAATGAACAAATATTATAATATAAAGATGGTTTTCGACGATTTATATAAATCTGGTTTCAGGGAGGCATTCCAAGAGTCGTGTTTGGTGGCTAAACTCGGATTTTGTTGGTGCCGTGCCCATCTGACTGGGGAAACCTAGGACGAATAGTTAAATTGTTTCGGTATATGTTCTTTTGCTATTCAACTGGGACATCTTACAAAAAGGGCGAGGTATCTAGGATTATCTTCAGAATGATGGCCTTTGAAACACGTCGGTTTGAGTGGCTCTTTGGAACTCGATGTCAAAATGCAACTGTGAGTGCGGAGGGAACGACGGGATAGATGTTCTTATTTATTGCATGTGTGGCTTAAGGAAACTTGCTACTTGAGCTCGTTTCCCTTCCGTCCTTTCCAGTTTTTATTTCTTGTTCACGTGCCATGGAGTGTCCCATATGCCTGGAGCCATACACTGGATCTCGAGGGCCACATCTTCCCAAAGTTTTTTCTTGCGGTCATAGCATTTGCGAACTATGTTTGAAGGAATTTTCCGGTGCCCAACTGGAGTGTGCACTTTGCCGTGCCACGGTCGATGCAGCACATATTTCGACCAACTACGCACTTTGCTCCGTACTCGATGCAGAAATTGCCCAGGCACCCTCCAACACTGCTCGAACTGGTTCAACTACTGCTCGCAGTAGTTCCCCCAGTCCAAAGGCTCGAAGTGATGTTCCTCAGAACAACAATGTTTTTACGGCTTGGACACGTTTTTTGGGTTGTTCAATTCACCTCTTTGGACCTCAGATGTGGAACAATTTTTTTGGATGTATTCATGGCTCAATTTGAAATAAAAAGGCATCCAACATTGTGGGACGTTTTCTTGTTGAACCACAATTTTGTACATGGTTGCAAAGAATGGCAGCCCCAAAGATGTAACACCAGGAATTTTCCCTCAGTCATGGAATGCATCTAATATATTATTGTATATATATATATACATATTACAAATATGTACATTACATATGTACACATACATGAACCTTAGAAGTGAAGGTGCAATCATCAATAATGTGGCAAACGTTCGAACGTGTGATGCTCTCCGATTCGAGGACGGTTTCTTCTCAATGACTGAAGACTCAGATGATGATGACCCGCTTCCTGCAGGGCGGCGTGGGAACGGTAGAGCCCAGGCGATTGCACACAGAAAATGATTTTGTAATGTGGGTAAAACAATGCTATAAACCACCCATTTGGGAATGGTTTGTACCACCTATATATTAATGGTGATTTGGGGGATGATTTATTATTGTTTGACCCACATTATCTGAATTCTCGCGTTTTGAATTTGCAACGGTCGGAGACTTGTAAAGTCTTTTGTGTTTCCTTTTTGTGTCACATTGTTCAAAGTGATGCCGCAAAAAATCCAGATTCCCCTGGTGCCACCATGCTTTCAACAACAACAAAAACATGAAGGATCCGGCCCTTGTCCCACAATGTTGACATCTTTTGGATGGTGAATTTGTCCCCCCAAAAACACCTTAAATGGACTCCCGAATTCGCTTTGTCTAAATTCTAAAGATAAAATATATACCTTATGTTGTGGCAAGTTGAATGGGAAAATGATGAGATAAATCAGGAGTACCCTCTGGTAAACTAACATAACTATGGGAAATCACCATTTTCAATGGGTAAATCCACTAGAAATGGCCATTTTCAATAGTTATTTTAACATAACCAGAGGGTATTTCCGGTCTTTCAAATCCATCCGAGTCATCTTTCCGGGCCGCTCCGGCCCCAGAGGCCGACGTTCGCCGGACGTTCGCCGAGCGTTGGGCGCCCTCTGCTCCTCCGCTGACCTTTGAGCAATTGGACCAGCTGGATCCGGAGCTGGCACCATCTGCCCCACCTTTCGCCACTGCGATGAGAATTTGGACTCGGAAAAACATGACAAGTTTGGCTGTTTGATGCTGTTCTTGTTGGAAGCAGCAAACTCTTGAGAATCCAAAAACACTTTCATATACTTGGGGCCTAGGCGTTTGTTTTCGATCAAAATGTCGCAACATTTTGCAGTTTGTTTGCCAATAACAACAGAAAACATATGCTCTCTGCAGTATAGCGGACGAGGCTGGTTATTCTGTGGCTGTGCGGTGCCCCAGGGCCCCAGCTCCAGAGCAGCTGAGATGGACGCTGAGTTGGTTTAGTCTGGATGGTAAACATCAGCCCTAAATTACGAACCCCCCAAGGGTAGTGGATTTTTTGGGTACCATTTAAGTAGCTAACTTAGCGAATTCTTTTTTAGTTGAGGAAAAAACGAGTTCGAGTCCCTGCTTTTCGAACTCGCAGCAATACCCAAACGCTGCCGAATATTGCGCTGTCAGCTTGACGATAATATAACACAAAAGTAAAAAAAACATAACTGTTGTCGGAGAGATTTCCTTATGTGAAACCCGTATGAGAAAAGATGAAACACATTAAAACACATTTAGTTTGAGACCAACTTTCCAAGCACCTTCCGTTTCGAGGCTCCGTCCGCGCCGAATGAATCGAACTTCCAGGTTTGGGGTCGCTGTTTCACCTGAGTTGGTGAAGACTCAAACCTCTCAGAGCTTGGAAAATCCACAAAGCACAGAAATCATCAGAAAATAAGCATGAAAAACCATTTGTCCGAGGTAAACGAGGGAGTCTTGACATGCGTGATTGTGTTTTATGATGTCTTGTGTGTTTTCTCATGGGTTGGAATCAACCCTCTTGACCGGATTTAGTTTAGTACAGATCAGCTGTGTGAAGACTGTGAGGCTGGCAGTCGGAGTGCCGGCAATGATCTCATGGTTGCGGAGCTCGTTGAAACTCGGAGCTGGGTCTAGCTGAGGGTTTCACACTGTTTCACGCTGTTTCACGCTGTTTCACACTGTTTCACGCTGTTTCACTGGTTTTCATTTCGACTTCCCAACTGTCAACTTCACGGCTGTGCATTGAACCTGGGCGAAATCTACAGAGGCAACTCATCCAAGGAATCTGGTGCCTTGCGTTCCAATGCATGCATCAACGCCTTTAAGGCGGGCGCAGGGAATGGCTGGAGACAGAATTTGTTGAACATGTACGGAACTCACAGGCTTCTTGCACCTCGTCTTGCACCTCGTCTTGATGTTGTTTTCGTCTTTGCTCTAGACAGTGCGGTACGAAAAATCTGCCATCGTTTCATTCCCCTGGTTCGTTCCCTGGGAGTTGATGAGAATCAATAGATCGTCACCTTGCACGATGACACTGTAGACGTTGAGGATGCTGCAGTTGTTTCAATGCATTCAATGCACGTCTCGTTAAAGTTATTATCCATTGCACGTGCTGCATCTATTTAATTTCTCACTTCATTTCTGCCATTTGATTGCCATTTGATTGCCATGGAAGGCAGTGGACCGCAAACTTTTTTGGCCGCATCCGTTGAGGACAGCTTATGCTCAAACGCCCTTGTCTGGCCCCCAATAATCCACAGATTTCCACGACAGCTCTACAGCTCTGCATTGACAACTCTGAGGCGTCTGGACAAAATACATCTCTCTGCGCCGCACATCTATGGGCAGGCACGTCATATCGCGTCATCATGCCATGCGGCACCTCTTTGACCACACACCGTGGCACAGGCACTGGAGTCCTTCATGCCTTTGCGGCACCTCAGCTACGGTGGCTATGGCGGCTACGGTTCCAGTCCAACATTTGGATTCATAATTGGTATGTGGATATCGAATATTGATGAATGTTCATTGTCCAATGTTGAGTTTTTGTTTGTTTGTTTGTTTGAACAGTTTTGATGTCGCCTGATGTCGCCTCATACTAAAAGTTGGGAAGCAGTTGGGCACCCAGGCCAGGAATGTCGTTTTTGAACGTGGGTCGGAGAGCTAAGTGTCCGATGCATTGCTTCAACGATGTGTTGTTTGACTTCGCAAGTTGATGTCCATCTGCTTGCGACGTTTTGAGGTTCTGGTACGGGATATTTCAGCTGCATTGTGCTTGCGTCTCAGATTCGGCCCATGATTTTTGCACACACACTTGCTCAGAACAAACACACATACCGCACTGAACAGTTCCAGCATCTGCATGTTTTCATGCAAGACTTGAATGTTTTGGCAGGAAACATGACCATCCTGACATATCCTGACCGTCCGGTTCTCCATGGTTCTCCATGGCATCGAGATCTGGTGCGGGTCCTACGGGTCCTACCGTCCTGCGGAGGAGGGTCGCACCACTGATCTCGAAATCGAAGCTATGTGAAGCTCTACCATCCAACTGTTTCTGTTGGTTTATTTCCTGTGTGGCAGATGATGCAGATGCGGGTTGTGTATTTAAAGCCTTCCGTTGTGCGAAGTCTGTGCCAGGATTGGTTTCCAACTACTGAAACCTGATGTCACAGTTGTGAGGCCTGAGATAGTTGATCATGCCAAATCATGCGTGGCTGCAGCTGGCAGGGGACCTAGATATACCTAGATTTGGCACAAGTAATTCGCCAGCAGAGATTGTTCTTCCACGCTTTCTCTTGTTTCGGTGCTGCTATTCACAACACATTTATTTACTGTACAAGTACGTGCCAAAAACGGACTCTAGTGAACTATTTGTCCAGTCCTGTTCCATGTGCTCTTGCTTCTGTAACTTCCCAGCCTCCAGAGCTGCAGACTAAGGGAAGCACCATCTGAAATTTACTCTGGGAAATATCTACGACATGGACATAAACAACATCCAGCGTTCCGTTGCCCAGTGTGCGCTCTGCGGAAGGACTCTTTCATCCATAAACCTTGGCTGAAATTGGGCAAGAAAATTTGGAACTGCCAGAGTTGAACGGAGCTGGGGACATTTGGTAATTCTTAACGTTCAAATCAATAAACACCAGTAAACACCATTACACACCAGTAAACACCAGTAAACACCATTAAACATTGGTAAACACCATTAACCACCATTAAACACCATTAAACGCCATTAAACACGATTAAACACCATTGAACACCATTAAACACCAGTAAACACCATTAAACACCATTAAACACAATTAAACACGAGAAAACACCATTAAACACCATTAAACACCACTAAGCACCAATAAACACCAGTAAACACAATTAAACACCATTAAATGCTATTAAACATCAGTAAACACAATTAAACACCATTAAGCACCATTAAACACCAGTAAACACACTTAAACACCATTAAACACCATTAAACACCAGTAAACACATTTAAACACCATTAAACACCATTAAACACCATTAAACACCAGTAAGCACCATTAAACACCAGTAAACACCATTAAACACCAGTAAACAACATTAAACTGTAGTAAACACCATTAAACACCATTAAACATCATTAAACACCAGTAAGCACCATTAAACACCAGTAAACACAATTAAACACCATTAAATATAAATAAACACCATTAAAAACGATTAAACACCATTAAACACCAGTAAACACCATTAAACATCATTAAACACCATTAAAGACCAGAACATCATTAAACACCATTAAACACCAGTAAACACCATTAAACACCAGTAAACACCATTAAACACCAGTAAACACCATTAAACACCAGTAAACACCATTAAACTCTAGTAGACATCTTTCAACACCATTAAACACCATTAAACACCAGTAAGCACCATTAAACACCAGTAAACACCAGTAAACACCATTAAACACCATTAAACACCATTAAACACCATTAAATACCATGAAACACGAGTAAACACCATTAAACACCAGTAAACACCATCACACCATTAAACACCAGTAAACACTATTAAACACCATTATACACCATTAAACACCTTTAAATACCATTAAACACCAGTAAACACCAGTAAACACCATTAAACACTAGTAAACACCACTAAACACCATTAAGCACCATTAAACACCATTAAACACCATTAAGCACCAATAAACACCATTAAGCACCAGTAAACACCATTAAACACCAGTAAACACCATTAAACATCTTTAAACACCATTAAACACCATTAAACACCATTAAACACCAGAACACCATTAACACCAGTAAACACCATTAAACACTATTAAACACCATTAAGCACCATGAAACGCCATTAAACACCAGTAAACACCATTAAACACCATTAAATGCTATTAAACAGCAGTAAGCACAACTAAACACCATTAAACACCATTAAACACCATTAAACACCAGTAAGCACCATTAAACACCATTAAATACTATTAAACATCAATAAACACAATTAAACACCATTAAACACCATTAAACACCAGTAAGCACCATTAAACACCATTAAACACCAGTAAACACCATTAAACACCAGTAAACACCATTAAATTAAACACCATTAAACACCATTAAGCGCCAGTAAACGCCATTAAACACCATTAAACACCATTAAATACCATTAAGCACCATTAAACACCATTAAACACCAGTAAACACCATTAAACACCCTTAAAGACCATTGAACACCATCAACACCAGTAAACACCATTAAACACCATTAAACACCAGTAAACACCAGTAAACACCATTAAACATCATTGAACACCATTAAACACCATTAAGCACCATTAAACACCATTAAACACCATTAAACATTGGTAAACACCATCAACACCAGTAAACACCATTAAACAGCATTAAACACCAGTAAACACCAGTAAACACCATTAAACACCATTCAACACCATTAAATACCATGAAACACGAGTAAACACCATTAAACACCATTAAACATTGGTAAACACCATTAAACACCATTAAACACCAGTAAACACCAGTAAACACCATTAAACACCATTATACACCATTAAACACCTTTAAATACCATTAAACACCAGTAAACACCAGTAAACACCATTAAACACTAGTAAACACCACTAAACACCATTAAGCACCATTAAACACCATTAAACACCATTAAGCACCAATAAACACCATTAAGCACCAG